TTCCCTTTTTTCTCTTCTCTATTGTCGTTAATTTTAGAGAGCCGTGAAGGAAGTTCACAGTGAGCACAATTTGCGTCAGCGAATGGCGATGATTGGGCAGCCCATTTTACCAGATTTGGACTTACTCACCACAGTAAGCGACCACGTTGATATTTTTCCATTTCTTAAAGGGGATTATATCTTTTGATAGCGAATGAATAAAATCCGCCAAGAAATAATTTTTTTTTGTCCAGATGCGAGGTCTTGGGCTCCTCCACTTTCTCCACGATTTGGGGCGCGGTCGCGGCGAGCGCCGCCGAGTTAATAGTGCCCGACTGTGCTGATGAAGTGTTTTCAAAGTTACCCGCACAGTTCGCGGACTACCAAGTCATCTCGGCCTGGTGTGGTGAGCGTACCCCAGATCTTGAGGGTGTGCACCTTTAGTCAGGATTGACCTTTCACACCTCCTCGCCGTGGTTATCTCGCACCACCCTGTAACCTGCCTCTGGGTGGACCTCGCTTAATTAGCTGAGCTGAGTGCTGACCCAACTCCGACAGACTCATTATAGAGGATATTGATCGGTAATAAATTCATTTATGCAGTAGCGGTTGGAGAAAACAAAATATCAGAAAAAATGGATGAAAATGAGAGCTCAAAAATAACTAATTTTTGGCTAATAGCATTCGCAGTGCAAGCCGTTTTCATGCAGAACAGTTACGAAGTGGAAACTTTCGCCTAACTTTCCTACAGGCAAACTATGGAACTTTATGAATGAAGGCATTACCTTTTATGGGAAGATCACCCTCCACAGGTATTTGTAATCAGGTGGGAAGAGAGCATCACAAAGCACTACATTGTTTGTGTATGTCCATCTCAAGCATGTTCTCAAGCTACTTCTACAGCAGTCCTCTGCATGACTCATTCACTTACCAACTTCTAGCAGATTCGGCTACAACTGGCGCTCCACTATTCGGAGATGCAGATCAACTGCCTGCTCCACCTCTTTACATGGATTCCAGTGCACTTCCTTTGTACAGCACCACTACTGTGTCAGTGCCTGCACCATTACTCTGCGTGGCTTCTTCTCCATTTCAGGTCACCCCTCTGTCGTATTGAATTCGACTTCGTCCCAGATCCCCTTTGTTTCTATCCCTGGTCCTGCTTCATCCTCGATTTATGCATACATTTCAGCATCACCACTTCCACCCCAAGAAATATCATATGCACCCGTCCCTCCGATTTCGCAAACTACACGTAATATCTATCCCATTCCACCTGATAGCCTTACCAATTCTGTAGCCACAGAATCTTCTTTTTCAGGTTCATCGAACACATCCATTTCCCCCACCAATACAGTACAATACAATATACAATATACAATACAATATGTCACTAATACATCTGTATAATCTGAATTTTTTGTTAACTACGCTAAAAATTTGAATAAATTAAGCTTTGGTTTGTTTCCGTGAATGTAATAAAGATAATAGACTAGACTTGATAATCAATACTGCGCATGAGAGCGATATGTTGGAGCGAGGTCAGCACTCAGCACACCTAATTAAGCAAGGTGCACCCAGAGGCAGGTTACAGGGTGGTGCGAGATAACCACGGCGAGCAGGTGTTCGTCCCTGTTGAAAAGGGTCAATCCTGACTAAGTTCCTACTCCAGATCGTGAAGAGGTGGGGGAGCGGTCGTGATAATGATTGAGAAGGTCATATGCAGGCAATTGATCTACTGCATGTCATCTATCATATGGAACCGGGTTTCTTAGATGCAAAAAAGCTGCCATGGTTGCAACTTTTCTGGTTGTTTGTTCTTTGACGTGTATCGCTAAGACGGTTTTAGAGTTTTTCATGATTAGTTTTTTTTTTTTCAGCAAATGCTCATTTCATAAAGACGAGCACGTACGGACGAGCCCAGCTGCGGCGAACATAGCGGAGCAACCTGTTCATAACGGACACGAAATGAAGGAAACATCGTTAGAAACATCTCAAAATTCGGAAAGGCCGTGTTCATCTCATGTCGCTGACAATGAAGAGAAGGCTTGTTTTTTATTCCTAGACCGCCTTTCTTGTATGTTCAGTTGGGATAATCAGTGGTGGTTATATCAGCGTTTTGTTAGTAATGAAAGTTTTCTTTTCAGGCAGGCACAGTGTGCGAGGTACTCAATGATTACTCAGTTTTACATCGGATTGTTGGAGTGGAAATTGATCGTATGGAGATACGATTAGAGGCGGCATTGGAAAGAATGGTTGATCGGCATTTCCAATCATTCGCGGAAGAGGTTGTGAATGTTTCTTTGCGATCCGTATCGCTTCATTTACTCTTCTAGGATTTAAGGGCATTTCACCTCAATTTGCGCTTTTACCAACATTGTCATTTTATTGCAGATACGAAATGTCAAAAGTACTCAAGAGGCAATTCTAAACAAGCTGGATGAGCTCACAAAAACCAGAGACAGCTGAGGCTGTGACTAAATGCGGTTAATATTTTTGTGATATGTTTTACAATGTGATAAAATTGGATTAATTAAGCGTTTATCTCAAAACAAAGAGATCGTGCAAAAACACAGGGTGTCACAAGCAAAAGAGTTAGTAAGAAAAAGGCAACAATCGAAGCAAAAAAGCGTCAGAGCGGATCTTTACGCAACAGTTACGGCAGAAGCAGCTTCAATCTGAGCTTTCGCGTCAGTTAATTCTTGGCAGTCCTCAAGAGCGGCTTCATCGATGAGCTTCTGTAGTTCAGATGCGGCTGTTGCACATCGTCGAGCCGTATCGCCAATCATCCCACGGGTTTCCTAAATCATTAATTTATACAGTCTTCACGTAATTTCGTATAAGCCTACAAGAACCTGTAGTACTTGTCCAGCTTTCTTAACAGCGTACTCGTCATCCTCGTTCTGAGCTTCAGCCTTCATTTTTTCAATTTTCTGCATCTCCTTCTCAACTTCTTTAATGTAGCTTGCATGCTCCTAAAACTCTTTTATAAGATGGTGGTAATGTGATATATGTCAAGAACACCCAATCGACTGAAGAGCACTGTGGCAGAAAGCAAGTCACGCAAAAGAATTGGAATGTCATTCAGTCTCATCTCACGATCCGATTAGAATATAGTTCTAAAAGGTTAACAAAATGGGAACTGTGAGCTAACTCACCTTCACAAGACGTTTCACTACACCTGTCTGGATCTTGATTTGTTTGAGGACAGCCGGGTCAACCATGATAAGTTCAGTATTACCTTAAAAAGATCATAGAGCAGTGACTCTTTACTATGGCTGGTGTTAGAGTCTGCGGTCCATCGCGCGATTCGCGCGACACGTTCAGTCGTCACTGGACGTCACCATCAAGCAGGGAGGGAAAGGGAGTAAGTCGAAAGAGAACCTGTCTAAAACAACATCAAATCTACCCCGAGCCTATTTTGTACCTACTTCGTGATCTTTCCGCCAACTCGTCAAGAACGAACCCCTCTCTCTCTCTCATCGCAATAGGACGCCCAACACCCATCTCCGGAACCCTTCAAAACCATCTCTAAAAACTTGAACACGACTCCTTTGTCAGACTCAGCACACACAAAAAAGAAATACGATGGTTCCCTTCTCAATCCAGAAATTCAGAAACCCAACTCCGCCT